TTCTCCTGGCTTTTGTTTCTTGGCGATATGAGGTCCCCATGTCTCTCTGCTTACTTCTCTCTTTTATATCTCAAAAGAGATTGGCTTAAGACACAAAATAATCCTGTAGATTGAGTCCTGCCTCATTAACATAGCTGCCTTTTATCCTGCCTCATTAACATCATAGAGGCAGGATTTACAACACATAGGATAATCACATCAGGTGGCAAAATGGTGGACAATCACACGATATTGGGAATCATGGCCTAACCAAGTTGGCACACATTTTGGGGGACACAGTTCGATCCATGACACCCATCATCTTCATGCTGCCAGATCCAAAGGGCATTTTTTGTTTTGTTTTGGCCTTTTTTAGTCAACTTATAACTGAATACAGCACACATAGAGAAAAATGCACATATCCTAAGTGTACAACTTGATTAATACTCACAAACCAAACACACCCACGTAACCAGATAAATGCCCTAATCAAGAGACAGACGTGACCAACCACCCAGCTACTTCCACATGCTCTTCACCAGAAGAGGAGCCATTCTCTTGTCTTCCAACAACATACAGTAATTTTGCTCATTTTTGGACTTTAGATCAATGGAATCATACAGCGTATGCTCTTTAGTGTCTGGCTTCTTTCAGGCAACATCCATGTTGTTGCGTGTCACTGAAATTTGATTATTATTGTTGCTGTATCATATTACATTATGAGACTATAAGATAGTTTACTTAGTCATCCTACTGTTGACAAGCATATGGGTACGTAGGGCTATTAGAATAGCGCCGTCATTAACATCCTTGTGCAGGTCTTTTAGTGAACAAATGGGAACATTTCTCAAGTCTGTGCTTAGGAGGAAGGAGCCCTGGTGGTGCAGCAGTTAAGCACTCCGCTGCTAACTGAAAGGTCAGAGGTTCGAACCTACCAGCCACTACACAGGAGAAAGATGTGGCAGTCTGCTTCCGTAAAGATTACAGCCTTGGGAGTCCAATGGGGAAGTTCTACTCTGTCCTGTAGGGTTGCTATGGGTTGGAGTTGACTCAGCGGAAATGGACGGATGCCTAGGAGTAGAAATGCTGGGCCATAGGGTATGTGCACCTTCAACTTTAGTAGATTATCCCAAGCCGTTTTCCAAAATGGTGGTGCTGATGGACACTCCAACCAACAGTATGAGAGCATTCTGGTTGCTTACGTCCTCATCACACATTTGCCTGTTTATGTTCATGGAGGATATTGTTCTGAAGTTTTCTTTTCTTTTTCTTTTTTTTTTTTTGCACTGTCTTTGTCTGGTTTTGATATCATGATAATAATCTTATTGATTTCCAGCTTGATTTCCTTGTGGTCAGAGAACGCACACTGTATGATTTCAATTCTTGTAAATGTATTGAGTATTTGTGATGGCCCAGAATGTGGTCTATATTGGTATGTGTTATATGAGCACTTGAAAGAATGTGTATTCTGCTATTGTTGGGGATAAAAAAACCAAGCCAAACCCGTTGCCCGTTGTCCAGTCACCAGGGCTCCCTTAGAATCCTGTAATTACCTCCATTACAGAAGTGATAATATGTGGATAATGTGGGGTTTGGTTTTCTGTCTTTCCAACTTCTTGAGTGAGAAATCTGAAACTTATTTTGTATCTTATTCATCTTTATTTCCCTAGTGCATACCATGGCTTACTGGCGTCTAACAGGAAAGCCGTATCTTCTCGCTACCTGATCAAGACAACTATCTTTATCTTCACCCATCCTCCCTGCCCCTCCTGTACAAGAGCTGCCCTCATCCTATCAGAAGACCGTCCCTATCAGGGGCTCTCTGAATCCCATTTCCTCTGAGTTTCTTGGGGACTCGTTCCTTTGATTCCTTTCTGCCTCACCACACCTGTTCCTCCTTGAGTCCCCTCTGTGGAG